ACCTTGTTTGTCCAGTTTAGATCAGAACAACTGGGTTATAACGGGATTTTAAAAGGGGCTAGTAAAGTATCATCATAGATATGGCCTCAACAGTTTGGGGTGACAAACGAATCTCTAAGAATTTAGCTGCACTGCAGGCATTTGTTGGTCAAACATAGTGGCCTTAGCTTCAAAGCTACTCTGTGACCCTAAATCTATATCAGAAGGGATAATCCCAGACTACTTGACATTCATATTTGAAACCATTGTCAGCTTTAGACACTGATTGACTTGTAAATCTCACAGGGTGTAGGTGCTAAATCCAATATACTTAACTCGTGGAAGCGTTGTTTTTCCCTGTTTCGTTTGGAAGCTTAAAAGGCCTCAGTTAACGTAAAAAACATATTAACAAATAGCAATTCACAAATAGTCATCCTTGATGACACCAGCCGGCCACAGTTTCCTACTTGATGTTGAATTAAGTAAATAAGTCATAACAAAGCAAAACGGCAAGAATAACATAAGTAGAAATAACGAACTACCTTGAGTGTACGAAGTCATGCTGATAGTATCTGGAGATGAGCGAACTGTGAAGCAAACGGTGAAGAAAACTGGCAGTGTGACGGCAATGTGTGATAGCGACAAAATGGCGGTATCAATAGTGAAACTGTCGTCATAGCGACGTCATAAATCTCGCGAGATCGTCATAGCCTCGCGTGACGTTAACGCTATGACTGGTTTTCTTCGTGCTCTTCGCAAGTCAGGATCCCAGCCGTGTTTCCTGATGTCGCGAGGTTAAAAATGGCTGATCATGGCTTGTATATAGAATGTCTTCATGCCAAACAAACAACAAACAAACAGACGATGCAGCATCAGTGTCCAGCTGCAAATAGTCACTACTCAAAATACCGATATGATGTTAAATTTAACTCACTCACTCACTACTCTAAATATGATTGTAAACGTGTTTGTACCACACCAATTCGATTTGAAACAGTCACTTTAGTCTGTTAGTTAAAACACTCAACCCTCGTATAACATGCTATCTATTAACAGTCAAGGGGAAATGACTTGGTTCAAAACGTAATAGGCGTCTCCCGAAAAGTGGCGTAAAATCTTACTCACTCACACAAACAACCGACTACGACTTTAGTCAATAATAAGGCATGGGAGTTATGGTCACATCACCACTAAACTCGCTCTCTTTAAAGGCACTCTGGGTTTTTACATTCTGGAATTATGTTTTTGTACCTTTGCATAAATAGTTACTGAGGGTAGTGTATTTTACCTTATGTCAAACAGTTAAGTATATATTTTGCTCCCTCGCTTTGTCGTAGGAGGCGACTGTCGGAATGGGATGACACGATCCTTATGTTGTCGATCGCTGGATTTCTCGTTCGATTCAATTATTTACATACCGCCGTTATAAAGCTGGAACATCGGGAGAGCGGCGTTAACTGCAATCTGTTTGACTAATTTAACAGATTTTAAGGCGCTTCAGGGGCCTGACACAGGAAATTTTAAGAGTGGGTGGGCGAGTTGGGTTTTATGCCGCTTTTAGTTTTAGCAATATTCCAGCAATATCACGACGGGGGAACACCAGAAATGGGCGGCACACATTGTACCCCATGTGGGGAAACGAACCCAGGTCTTCGGCGCGATGGGCGAATGCTTTAACCACTAGGTTACCCCCACCTCCTCTTAGAGGACGAATTATACAGAGGCGCCTATCTCAACTGTTCCATTCTGGCGATGATATTTGACCCGTGTCCAGATGACTGACTGACTGAGTTTGGTTTTACGCCGCTTTTAGCAATATTCCAGCAACATCATGGCGGGGGACACCAGAAATGGGCTTCACACATTGTACCCAGTGTCCAGATGACACGCTGTGACATACTGAAGTCATGTTGAAAGCGGCGATAAACAAAACTCACTCACTCACTCGAACCACTTAGAATCACCCAAAGACAAACTAATGTCGTACAAAGCGAATGGAGGTTAGCTTCCTTTGTGAATGAACGTCAGTTTATCGTTTTCAAATTTTGACAAGAATACACCTATGTATGGATAATCCTTTTAAAACGTATTTTCAATACAAACGGAGAGACAAAGTGATTTCGTAAAATATTCATTATAAGAAATCGATATGCAAATAAAAACAAAATAATAAAGCAAGACTAACATCACGACACACCAATCAGTGTGCTTTTTTTATTTGTTCACCTATACCATTTAAAAAAGTAGGGGGTAGTCAACGAAACTACTGATATTTAATACCTTAAAGAGATAAATAGTGTCAGCGGGACATCTTGACTGAGATTAGCATTAGTCGTTAAACATCAGATGACAACAGATTTTGTTAGATGATTGACCAAAGCACCCTGCAGTAACTGCCCCTCGTGTCATTTACCTGAAAAGACAAACTCATTAGTATCGTGTGAATCCGTCTCCATTCTCAAGACAATCCCGGATTCAACGAGACATAACCCTACTCAAACGTCCAATGTTGGTTCCTCCCATCCCATTCTTTCTACAGAGTAGTGCCAACTTCGTTCATATTGGTCAGTGGTTGTCGACAGTGACGTCGTGTTCCAAGAATATCCCGAACATATTCGACGGGTGTCTGGACCTTGTGGTGGCCATCTTTTTAAGGTGGTCATGTTCTCCTGTTGGAGATACTCAGTGATAATACGAGACCTGTGTGACGTCGGCACCGCGCGAGCTTCCAGCATTTGGTCACGGTAGTATACACAGTGACATGTCTGTGTATAACATGTCATGGTGTTCTTCCAGTCAAAGTGATCCCACCAACACCATCACCGAGTCACCCCAAACGATTACTCTATCTATTTTCATTACTATTTTCTCGTATCTTCATTCTATGTTATTTCCCTCCACTTTGGTTGTGGGTCTTCCCTGATCGCCATTGTGTCTGCCTACAGCCAGGACGGGTGACATGTCTCCCAATACCTTGTCCCCAGTGTCTACATCAACCATGGTCCACTCGCAGCATAGATATGTTCAGAAGAAAATACATTGGGTTAGAATTTGTGCGTGTGTGCATTTTCTAGTTCAGGAACGCCTTTAAATTTAATCTTGTGAGTGTAGGTGAAAACGGGTATATATAAGTATCTATTTCTATGAGAGTATACCCTGGCCCTATTTGCCTCTAGAGCTTTGTTTCGGGGGCCATCACAAGACCCGTCTGTCTAATTTCTGAACAGGTCAATTGAGTTGAGTAGGAAGGGTTCGAAACGATTGTTGAGCACCTTCCTTCCACTGGTGTTTAAGACACCAACCAAGGATACAACGCGTTCAGTTGTCTTGTGCCGAAATCCCAGATTTGCCTCGAGTGGAGATCCGGGTTAGAATTGATCTTCAGTAACCCATGCTTATGGTAAGAGGCGACTAACAGGATCGGGTGGTCAGGCTCGCTGACTTAGTTGACACGTGTCATCGTATCCCAGTTGTGTACATCGATGCTCATGCTGTTGATCACTGGATTGTCTGGTCCAGACTTATGTACAGACAGCCGCCATATAACTGGAATATTGCTGAGTGTTGGGTTAACCAAACCAGTACCATACCCGTGTCAATTACTGCATCAGTTTATCACTTTCACACAATGATGACTAACGCTAACACTCAAGCCGGTGTCGAAAGCGGCTTAGATCCAAATCACTCACTCATGCACATTAAGACTACACCACATATTTTGAAGTGAACTATATATGAATAACACTCAAGTTCGGCTTTATAAGTTTATTACAATGTTTCACTGTTACATGTTTATAACAGACGCGATACACATCAGCTGGAGAGATTCTCTTTGACTACGGATGTTCAGTGATCTGTTAAGAGACGGGCGACACTTATCTTCTACCTGTGGTCAGAAGGAGAAATCATTGTTAGAAATCTCAAAGAAGAGCAAAGTTCATTATACCATTGAGATTACATCCAATGCAGGTGTTTAAGATTCACTATCAGGTGACACGGATGATCTCTCTAAACAAACTGTGGAATTATTATGGACATGCGCCATTATTACTGCATTTAGACGCAGGGCAAAAGAATTACCTGACATGGACAAAACTACTGACACATTAATGAGGTAGTGCATGAAAGTGAAATAGAGATTTTGTATGTTATGTGTGGAAAGTTTGATAAAACTGGTCTCGAGAACAGCTAACTCAGTAAAAATAAAATGGCGTGGAAAAAACAACAGGAAACCCCATGACGCACCCCACTCGAAACCGTTGGGCAGACATGTTCTGACGTCACTTGTCGTTGTTGATGCAGTCAACTACTGCTTCAGACTCAAGTATTTACTGACAGAAAGCTGGAACACTGCTGCACAACATTAACATAAATTCAGTGTGGTTACACAACACTCACTCACTCACTCGTCCGGGACTAAATGAACCATACATCATGGGGTATGGTATTTCTGCACCTGGTGTGACGATGGCTGACAATAAACAGATGTCGTGTGCTATGTAACAAAAGAAAACACAAACGGCTAGGAAATTAAGATACTTTTAATCAGTTCAGATTAAAGTAAAAACTGAGATTGAATCTTGTCCGAAAAAAGCCAAAATGTTCAAGTAAAAATCCACAAAATGTCCGAAAGGTCCGAAAAGTATAAATAGTGTTGAAAAGGTCCAAAAATGCAAAAAGTCACCAAATATTTCAATGTAAATAATTATTATATGACACAATGTCCAAAAGGTGAAAGATGTCACTATGAGCGTCCATCTTGACATGGAACAGTCTCCTCAAGAATCCAACAGGTATGAAGATGTCACTATAAGCGTCCATCTTGACACAACACAGTCTCCTCAAGAATCCAAAAGGTGAAAGATGTCACTATGAGCGTCCATGTTGACATGGAACAGTCTCCTCAAGAATCCAAGAGTTTGCAAGATGTCACTATGAGCGTCCATCTTGGCAAGAACAATTTCCCTAAGAATCCAAGAAGTATCAAGATGTCACTCTAAGCGTCCAATATTGACAAGGAACAGTCTCCTTAAGAATCAAAGATGTAGCAAGATGTCTAAGCGTCCATCTTGACACGGAACAGTCTCCTCAAGAATCCAGACACACGTGATAGGAAGATTCGAACTGGGGACTGGGTCGGGGTGTCGTCATCATCGAGGTTGATATCGACGAAGTAAGGGGCATCACGGAGGACGGGGGTAGAGAGAGGGACAGGGAGGGAGGTGTGAGGGACGGGGAGCTCAGATAGGGGCTCAAGGATGGTCATGTATCTCCCAGTAGGACGCTGAGAGGGAAGGAGAGAAGGACATGAAGAGAGTGACAGAAGATGGAAGTGGAGCAAGAGGAGGAAAGTTGTTAAATGGATTTGCAAAAAATATAATCATGATTTGAGAAGAATGTTAGCATTTAACATATGTGATTATTACTGCTCATTAGTGTTCAAATTATTGGTGAGAGTTATGCTAGTAACAGATAAAGTGGATACATTCATGAATACAAAACACAATTTCAGGTTTACAAAATGACTGATTCCCTAAGACACCCACTTGGCGAGGAGGGGCCCAGATGTCAAAGTTCAAAGGGAACCTGATCACGAGGTCAAGAGCTGTCGGAAAGAAGAAATGAAAGTTATGTAAATCTATATACAAGAAACTGGACCCAACTGTATTAAAACTAACGTCTTCATTAAACCCAAACTCTTCATTTGTTGACGACACCACCAAAATGGGTAAGTTGTAATAAAAAAATTAGCATTTTCAAAACGTGTCATTAAATTAGGATTTTCCATCATAATTTAGCAATACTAGCTTTTTATGAAGGCAAGCGGTCATTGAAAGTTTGCCACTCCAAATATAATGTGACCTATGTGACAGTTTATATGGAACGTTATTGTACACAAGTAACCTTGTTTGAAGTGAATTAAAATATTGAAACTTATGATGTTGTCAGTTAGGTAGAACCTATGCAATCACATCATATATAGTTAGTGAATCAAGAGTTCAAAATGTCTCTGCGAGGCAACACCCCTCCATACAGCCCGAGTTAGCACGGCCGTCAGAAGACGTATGACGTCCGAAAAAATGTGATCCGACAACATTTTACGTTTGTCCGAAACAGAATTGAGTTTGAAAACATTGTTTGTCCAGTTTAGTTCAGAACAACTGGGTTATAACGGGATTTTAAAAGAGGCTAGTAAAGTATCATCACTGATATGGCCTCAACAGTTTGGGGTGACAAACGAATCTCTAAGAATTTAGCTGCACTGCTGGCATTTGTTGGTCAAACATAGTGCCCTTCAAAGCTACTCCGTGAATCCTAAATCTATATCAGAAGATAATCCCACACTACTTGACATTCACATCTGAAACCATTGTCAGCTTTAGACACTGATTGACTAGTACATTTCATAGACTGTAGGTGCTGAATCCAAAATACCGTTAACTCGTGAATGCGTTGTTTTTCCCTGTTTCGTTTATTACAGTTTGGAAGTTTCAAAGGCCTCAGTTAACGTGAAAAACATATTAGCAATTCACAGAAAGTAATCCTTGATGACACCAGCCGGCCACAGTTTCCTACTTCATGTTGAATTAAGTAAATGCGTCATAACAGAACGCAAAGGACAACACTAACTTAAGTAGAAATAACGAACTACCTTGAGTGTACGACGCCATGGTGATAGTATCTGGAGATGAGCGAACTGTGAGGCAAACGGTGAAGAAAACTGGCAGTATGACGGCAATGTGTGATAGCGACAAAATGGCGGTATCAATAGTGAAACTGTCGTCATAGCGACGTCATAAATCTCGCGAGACCGTCATAGCCTCGCGTGACGTTAACGCCATGACTGGTTTTCTTCGTGCTCTTCGCAAGTCAGGATCCCAGTCATGTATGCTGATGTCGCGAGGTTAAAAATGGCTGATCTTGGCATGTATATAGAATGTCTTCATGCCAAACAAACAACAAACAAACAGACGATGCAGCATCTGCCAATAGAGTGCTTCGTCCTTTCGATAGAAATTACCCACAATGCATTAGCGTCGGCCATTTTGGTAGGCACGCTACTAGAACGGTTGTCGCTATTTCACTCTCGTTCAGAGACTATATTTATCGAAGAACTCGCAAGTCATTTCACTGCATTTCTCATCATTGTTCTCTCATTCGACTACTCGTGATTATCAACGATGCAGAATTATAAGGAGACACTCGATAAGCAGGCACATGCAAGGTATTTGGAAAAATAGCGGACATTGGAGATGTGGATCCCTATCAGATCGATAAGCGTGAGTGGGCGTGGATCATGCTTTGTTTCCGAATGTGAGCTATCTGGACCTCGTGAACTATCTTATCTTTAATCCAAGTCCTTATTACACCATACAAGACTTTCAAAACTACAGGAGTTTAGGAAGCTTATGATCGTTTTGTGTGCGGTTGGGTGAGGAAGTTTCGGTACACGAGTACAGGACAACTCAGAAGTCGCGAAAAAATTATAAAGGCAAGAGTTATGCATTCACAGTCCCTTTCGGATCCAAGCTTACATCCATGGATGATATGTGATGACAACAGGATTGTGTCTCGGCTCACTGTAATTGTAAAGCCGGACTTGGTGAGAGCTGTTCTCATGTTGCCTCAGTGTTGTTTTATTTAGAAGCTACAGTAAGACTGCGGGAAGTCAGTACAGTCACCCAAGCCCCAGCTTACTGGATGCTTCCATCAAAGAGACATCTGTGGATTATGCCTCACTGCATAAAATTGATTTCACTTCGTCCAAATCCCTGAGAAGAAACAACTGGACAAAAGATTTGTCAAGCACAAGGTGTTGATACAGAGATTCCGGGTAGGACACCTGTCAAGAAGATGCACAGTAAAGTCTCCACGTCAAGACTCAACACATTTTTTAGAAGCAATCCAAGGATGAGGAGCCAGTCTGTCTCTCTGTTAACAGGACATACAGTAAGCCGTACACACCAAGAAGCCTACAGACTCAGTACCCCCTTGTGTTGACAGAACTTTTGATGCAAGCTGTGTTACTATGTCAAAAGAAGACCTCCTACACCGTTGCAGTAACATTTTGTCAGAACGTAACTTTGTATCAGAGGAAGAAGCAGCAAATGTTGAATCTGCAACCAAGGATCAGGCGGATTCAACTATGTGGTATCGCTTTCGTGCGAGGTCGCATAACAACTTCAAGGATGAAAGCAGCGTGTTCGACTCCCTGTGAGGGACCCTTCATCCAGTCTTCTGAGAAGTATTTGTTATCCGACAGAAACTAAGTTCACCAGTGCTGCTACACTTTGGGGATATGTGCTCATGAGGGAGACAGCTCGTCAAAAATACAACATGGTTATCACCGTTGATCATCAGAATTTTAAATGTGACACAAGTGGTCTTCATATCAACCCTAAGTTTCCGTACCTGAGGGGCGTCACCAGATGGGCTGGTTGACTGTGATTGCTGCGGGACAGGATGTCTGGAAGTCAAGTGTTCTTTCTGCATGAAAGATGACAAAGTGAGAGGAGGAAAGGTTCCATGTCTTGAAGAGACTGCCACTGGCCTACAACTAAAGAAGAATCACCCATACTATTTCCAAGTTCAAACGCAAATTTATGTATGTGATGTGGACTATTGTGACTTTGTGATGTGGACAACTGAGGACATCTTTGTTCAGAGGATCGAACCCAATCCTGAACTGTGGCAGAATATTGTTGAGAGGTCATCAAGGTTGTTTTCCACAGTTGTCTTACCAGAACTTGTTGGAAAATACTACAGTGCAAGAATTTCCTCTCAAGAAGGTTCAGTAAATGCTGAAGCCAACAAGTCTACTCAAGCACACCTCGAACAGACGTGGAATCAGGAAAGAAATCCCCAGAGAGAAAACCCTGCAAGAAATTTCACTGAACACCAGGTCAAACAATCCAACCACAACCACTTCCGGAACGACAGTAAAGTCTACATCCAAGAAAAGACGCAACACGCCCAAAGAAGACAGTCTCAAAGAAAAAAATTCCCTTCATCTCAAACCACCCAAGACATTGAACTGGATACATCAGATGAAAACCTTAGAGCTGTATTGTATCTGTGCTGGTGCAAAACAGGGGCGGATGATTGCCTGTGACTCAGATGATTGTCCAAATAAACCCTTTGAGTGGTTTTCACTTCAAACGTATGAAGTTGAAGATTGAACCTAAGGGTGATTGGTTCTGTCCTGATTGCCAGAGAAAGACAGTTTCTGACCAGCGTTCAAGGGAAGCGTTAATTATTGTCGAGCAAGCATCAATGATGTGTCTGTACAATGATTTCACAGTGAAAAGAAAATGTTTTGGTAGTGACACTGAATTATATTTTGCAAAAATATTACTGTAGCAGTGACACTGATTCGCAAATGAAAAAAAAGTGAATACTCAAGAAAATTTATAGTTGTTATTTATACACAAGGAAAAAAACAAGCAAAACATGTCTGCAGTTTTCTCAGTCTTTATTGATGAGAAATCCAAGCTGCACTGATGAGCCTTGGGGAGGCGAAACATGTTTATTACATAGGGGATGATTAACAGGGGCTTGATTTAAGAGATGTTAACCAACTTGCACCAGGTGCAACCTAAGATAAAGACCCAGTTGCACCAGCCAAATTCCAGTTGCAACGTCAGAGGTTTGGTGCACATAACATATATCCGTGATGTAGTACCTACGAAACTATAGCCACACAAAGCTGTCATACCGAGGCGCGTGTCTATGAATAGCAATGCTTCAGTGCCATAGCTATTCAAAGTATAGAAGAATAATGAGCTGACATACCAATGCCTATAATGTTAGAATTATTGTTGATTGACCTCTCAAAAATGTACTTGCACCATGTGCAAGTCAGACTCATAACTTATGTTGCACTTAGTAATATTAGGTTGCACCAGTGCAAGGAACAAAGCACTAAATCGAGCCCAGATTAAGATCTGACAGTACAAAGCACATTAATATATTCTTTTATTCTTACATTATCATGATAACATGCATTTGCATATAAACAAACATTACAATGGTAGACATGGATCTCTGTAAAACCACTTTCATTAATTCTTCAGTTTGTTTTACTGTTAGCAGAATTTGTCACTCAAACATGTTTTAGCCCCCAGGGCTCATCAGTGCAGCTTGGGTTATCCAATCATGAATAAGAATTTGTTTTCTTATCTAATTGGGATAAACTGCAGACATGTTTTTGTTTTTTTTCCTTTTTTCCTTTACTAAAATATTAATCAAGCCCTGTGACAATGTTACAGAAGCGAGCTTCTGCAAGCAAATAGCTGATGGTTAGTCGAATGGTACAACAGAGGGGCACAAATTAGTTAGTGAACAACAAACTGTGACTATCTTGTCCAGTATTACATACTCTTCTTCAGGTTTAGAAATGAGATAGTCAATTGGAATGGTGGCACCAAGGATCATGAACTTCTGCCTGAGCTGTTCCAATAACCCTTTCAACATGTATGCGAACATTGGCAATTTTCCTTGTTCCTTCTACCTCTGGTCCACATTTGCTTTTCTCCTCATGAATGCAGGATATTTCACTTCAGCCAACAAGTGCAACTAATTCTTTAATGTCAAACCCTCTGTCAGCTAGAATAACATCACCATGGCTGAGATTGTCAAGAAAGTTTGAGTGGGCAGTCAAAACTTGTCACTGGTTCTTCCACCCCATCCTTTGGAAATATAACTCACAGACCCTTATTGGGGTAATTGCAATTAAGTATTTGGCAGTATTGTGGTGCTTGTAGCTGGACCAAGTTTGTGCTCTTGCTGTCAGATTTGAGGAGTGATCAATAAAAATTTCAAAGCAATCAATAATGCCCAGGTAACTTGCTTTCCAAAGTGTTTTCGAAAAACCATTGGCATTGTCGTAAAGTTCATCCCTGTCTGGCTAGCACTAGAGGCCCCATGATATCATGCATCAAGTGCAAAATGTATCTAAGAAAACCTTTGACACTGTGGTTAAGTGAAACACCAAAACGATAGCTGAGATCTGTAATTGGTAAATTAAGTTACAGTCTCACGAGTGTCAGGAATTATTTTCTGGAATTTGTTCAGTGAGCTATTTCCATTTTCATGCATGTCGGTGCTAGAAGGTTGAACAGTGCCATTAGAATTGTGAAACTTGGTAAACCTAATGTAATATTTCACTTTATCATTGTCATCTTCAAAATCCTCAGGTAAATTGGCTTTCATTTTTGTGTACAATATTCTGCAAACACTCATTCTGCTCTTTCAGTCTTGCATTCTCAAATTCCAACTCGAGGAAATTCTTTCATTTGCAAATTCAAGCATCTCTGCATCTGTTAACTCAGTACCAGTTGCTTCTGTACTGTCAACACCATCAACTTCCTCTGCACATGGAGGTTCAGAAACCGAGGCACTTAGTTCCAAAAGAGATATTGCAGCTTCATTCATCTTAATTGTCTGTTTTCGGGTTTTGTAACCTCTCGTGGCCGGATCGCCGACTTCGTTGGAGATTTTACATCATATCCCAGATTCTTGTTGAGGGAACCCAGTCTAGGTTTGTTTCATCATATTTGTTTCTTGCACCTGAAATATCATAAGTAAATGTTAAAACACTAACATTTACCTCATATTATTTTGTTGCAGTGATAAAGTTTCAAAATCGAAAATAATGTTACAAAATCAGCTTGACTATCTACCTCCGCATGAGACTCAAATTGTTTTGATATAGATGTTAGATTAAAGACCTAATTTGAAAACAAACAGCATACCACATAAACTTTGTTAACTTATGACAATTTCACA